GGCTGATCTAAGTCAGGGCATGGCTAACTCACAGATCGAACCCTGAAACAACCTCGAGGCTGATCTAAGTCAGGGTACGGCTAACGTTAACTCACAGATTGAATTGGAATAAAGACTAAATGGGAATCATAAATGAACATTAATAGATATGTTATAAATATTTACAGATAAAAAAGACCAGTGCATTCTCTTAAAAATCCCTTTTCAAGACGTGTTATTTTGTTATGATCAAGAATCCTGTAAGGATAAAGTTGGGAATGAAATATTTTAAACAATACGGTAATGAAATGCAGAGAAAGGAATAAATGAAAATKAAAATACGTTATAGTGAGACTATAGGAAGGTGAGTGAAGAAATCAGTCTCGCAATACCAATTAAAAAAAACGTGCTACGCTTGTTCTGCGATCAACGACAAAAGGGCGATAATAAATTTCATTGTAAAAACTTTTTTCTTTCCTTTGTTAATTTTCTTTATCTGGATTCAATGCTGCCATACCTCACGTAGGACTAGCTGAATAGTGCGCAATAGTCAATGAAATTTCTTTACTACTAAGTTTGTAAACAGTAAGTACGTCGAGAAATGTTCGGTGGTCGTCCGTAATTTTTCGTGCGCAAAACAGGGTCGTAGCCACCGGTACGGTTGGTCCGGTTTCAACCGAACCTACTTTCGGGAAAAAAATATGAGAAAAATGAAATAAAAATTGTAAGAAAAACCGAAAGCCCTCGAAAAACGAGCCAATCAGAAATTTGTGACTACGTCCCTGCAAAAGTTTTTTTTATCACGAGTGTGAGATGCTTTGTCATCAACCAATATTGATATCATCATGACATAACATGACATGATATTAATAATTATGATTATACTTAYAAATTCGTAACAGCTGTCAAGCTTTTAAAAGTTCCAGGATAAATGTGTCTGATTTGGTTGCGTGATAACGTCCTGAAATCAAAATACAAATGATCATGATAATTATTTGCTAATGTTATTGGCATTCAAGTCATATGCCTGATTGCAAAGTCAGCATATGGCTGATTCACAGATTAAATTGTAAATTATGATGTTTTTTACGGAGGTAGGAAAACTGGCCTACTTGGAGATCAACCTCGAGATCAACCTCGTAGAACACTTACAGAATTGATAACGCCGTTAAATTTTCGAATTTTTCACTAGTGATGTTTTCAATTGAGTTTTCAGCAACGTCCCTACGATAATAAAAGAAAAATCTATAAATCTATAAAATCTACAAAGTTTTTCGCTGTCGTATCATAGCGTGGGACAATCACAACAGAGCTAGGCTCCAAACTAAGTGAAAGCCCAAAGATCGAATTAGAATTTAGAATTTATATTCTCATCTTAGAATTTAGAAGTTGATTTTTGAGGAGGAAGGAAAACCGGAGAACCCGGAGAAAAACCCTCGAAGCACAGGAGAGAACCAACAAACAACTCTACTCACATACGACATCGAGATCGGCAGGACTCGAACTCGGGCCGCATTGGTGAGAGGCGGCGCATTAGCAGCGCACGCCACCAGTGCTTTCCTAGTCAGATTCACGTATTTCAGCAAAACGCAAGATGTTTGTACATAAGCTAGACCAAGATGTACCCTGGTATATTAGCCGCACTAGGGTTTCCAAGGGTTGTTTTTACTCTCAATCATCGGATGGAGAGCCGGACGTACGAATGAGAGATAGCTAATATGGTTCATTGTGGTCTAGATTCGTGGTTCATTGTGGTCCACAAACAACACCATATATGCATGATGTACAGGACATGTTCATACCGAAGATCCGACAATGCACCATGCTCGCTATCTTAGAGGCTATAAGCTAGAGTGGAAACCGCTTCTATGCATGAACGATATACTTACAATTTTTGAATGTCTGTAGGTATATTATCTGGTATTGACGATATATTGCGACAAGTCATAGTCTTCTGCAAATACTCGTTAGTTGAGCAAATACAGTTAACCAGACCGCACCTTGCTGTTGATACACAGAAAAGCGCATACAAATTAAAATATAGTGATTATAGTGATTACTGTAAACTTCAATAGGAAAAGTTATTAAAGTTTAGAAACATAATAATTGAGTATCAGCAAAATATTTTAAAACATCAGGTGATGATAAATATGGAAATTGTAGTTCATATTTCTTCTCCATTTTTTTGAAAAAAGTGGTGATAACTAGTAGAGTACTAGCGTGGACTGCGTCGGTGTTTCTGAGTGACTTACTCCGACGAAGGACTAACGTCCGAAACGTCAGTTTCACAAAGCTTTTTACGGTGATTCAATTTATCCACAAGTTCCTGCTTTTTGAAAAAATAGTCTTCAGTTAACAATCAGCGCAGGATTAAAAAAAGGGAAAAAATCAAACAAATTAAACTTGGGCACTATGCGTGCCTCGGATTGCTAAAAAACATTTAAAATCATAATTTGGTACTGTAAAATATATAAGTTCACAACACACAATACAAGTTTACAGCACAACGGAATAAAACCGAGAGGTCCAAAACAGTTTCGTATTCTGTTACAGCATTTTGTCTGGTACATGGAGGGACTCAATTATTCACAATGACATACCTTCGATGTGGAAAGCAAAAGACCAGAGAACTAGAATCAGAAAGGTGACTTTCATGGTCGATACCATGACAAAAGTGACTCTCAGTCTATCTAAGAAACTATAAAATGCATCAAAATGAAGACAAAAATAGCATATATGAATAGTTTTCATAATTGAATTTCTAAAGTTCGCCGGAACTCATTCATTATCAATTTCAAGTTCATTTTTGAATAGAATGAAACACTGAACAAAAAAGATGAGAGGGAGGGATACAGAGATCAGAAGAAAAAAAGAAAGTAGATATAAATGAAAGGAAAGGAAGGAAGGAAAGAAGGAAAGAAGGAAAGAAGAAAGACTAAACTACATTTATATTTATATTTAACAAGAAAATAACTTCACCTTGAAAAGATAGTCAGCAAGCAACTTCTTTTCTTATTCCATAGGCATCCTTTAAACTAACCTTGCTCGATGTAGCCTTAGTCTTTATGCTCATTCAGGTCAAAGAGAAGGCAGTGCTTCTAGTGTTTTAATCGTTTTTTCGTTTTACTTTTCTTAAATTTCCACCATCTGGTTCCTTTATTACTTAAGAGTTCCAGATGGTCGTGGAAATTGCCCGCTCGATCATAGTTAATAGAGGGGAATGGTTAGGAAACCTATTGTTATAGGTCTTTGTTCGCTTTTGATGTTGAACCGGTCTTAACCCTGCACAATGTTTGATTTATGTTCATCCGAAATTGCAAAATAAGTAAACATAAACTTTGTCTATGGGATTGTTTTAAGGAATATTCAAATATCTCTTATAAATCTTTAAGTCTATTTTGAACTAGCAGCCAAAAGAAAGATTTTGGTCTGTTCACTCGGCCATTGCCAACAATGGTAAAACAAAGGATTGTGCAGGGTCACGCTTGAAAAAAGTGAACAAAGACCTATAACAAAAGAGTTTCCTAACCATTCCCCTGAATTAACTATGGCTTGACACAGCACTGAAAGAAAAGTAAAACGACGATGAAAGGATGAGCTATGATGATATGATAATTTAGTTGTTTTCATTCAAAGCAAAAACGAAGTTTCTATCACTTACATAGACCACCAGCTGACTGACTAAATTAAATTTTATAGAAAATTCGACTGAGATCTTGATTATTTGGTTATATGTACTGTTTAATAAAGTCGCAGGAGTGTTTTACCTGATAAAACACGATCTGCGAGTTTATTGAACGGCTTA